GGGTGAATGATAAATGAGGCGCTGGTGCCCTTTCTGCCCCACCAGGAGAGTGGGATAGCAGGGACTTGCTGCGCGCACCCCTGGCTGCTGAGGCTGCCGAGGCTTTGGAGGCTGCAGCCCTGGTGTTGCTGATTTCCTTCAGTGGGAGTCCAGGCTTATTACAGAATCACAGAATATGCCGAGTTGGAAGAGACCTGCAAGGACCATCGAGTCCAACTCCTGGCCCTGCACAGGACCATCCCCAAGAGTCATACCATGTGCCCAAGAGCATAATCGAAACACTTCTTGAACTCTGTCAGGCTTGATGCTGTGACCGCTTCCCTGGGGAACCTGTTCCAGTACCCAACCACCCTCTGGATGAAAAACTTTTTTCTAATATCCAACCTAAGCCTCCCCTGACACAACCTCAGGCCATTCCTTTAGGTCCTGTCACTGGTCACCACAGAGAAAAGATCAGTGCCTGCCCCTCCTCTTCCCCTCACGAGGAAGTTGTAACTGCAATGAGGTCTCCCCTCAGCATCCAGGCTGAACACACCAAGTGACCTCAGCCGCTCCTCATACAGCTTTCCCTCAAGGCCCTTCACCATCCTCGTTGCCCTCCTTTGGACGCTCTCCGATGGCTTAATATGTTTCTTATGTTGCAGAGACCAAAACTGCATACGATATTCAAGGTGAGGCTGCACCACTGCAGAGCAGAGCAGGACTGGCTGCTTAGCCCCTGGCTGCTGGGCTGTTTTAAATGGACTGGCCCTTTGCCACCATTCAGAATGTGAATGTAGAATGAGTTGAACTCAATGAAGCCCTTTCCACCTCTCCCACCCTAAAGGCATGATGGAGGCTTTTTGACAACACATTGCAAATAAACTCCTACAAACTCTCCAACGTACTTGAGTAGCTTTCTTTTCCTGCTAGCTCAGAATCTGAAATATTTTTCCGTTCTGCAGGTAACAAGTTACCCAGCTGTAAGCACAGTGTTGATACCAAATGTGAGTGTCCATGGAGAAATGGAGAAATGCAGCCCTTCACGGACAGCAAATTGTTCACAGTCACTAGAAAGAGTGTACTTTACTTCTACTTACTGTGACACAAATTAGGAACTTTCCTGAAGTTAGAGATGCTCCAACATTAGTGAAACCAATCTTGGAGATCTTGGTGAAAGAACTGCCACTGCAGGGATTTCACATCATTAGTTTTACTTCTAATGAAAAGGTTAATGATCCACTCACAGTCTAGACAATTGTATGGACACAGAAGGAACTGAGTTAGGTTCTGAAGAGAATGAACAAATTCCTAATCTTAGCGGTAAAGCATTTTCAAATAAACAGAATTTTTGGAGCTTCTCACAGGTAAAATTTTGAAGATGGCCAGCCACAAGGACTTCTATAAAAAAAAGGAGTGCTTATTGAAGTACAGCAAAAGGTATGGAAAGAGATAAATGATTGCTGCAAAATTAGTAATTTTCAATTAAAAAACCCCAAACAACTCCAAATGTACAGGGGTTTTCATGTAATTATCTTATAAATGGCCTTCAAAGAGGACTTTTGCTTCAGGACCCTTGCCAGCAGGAGCTCTGCAGGAGGCTGGAATTTCAGTGAGGAATGGCATACTGTGGCACAACAGCAGCGCATCTGTTGTCAATGGCAGCTGCTGCACAGCACTGAGCATTGTGCATTTCTCACTGTTTACAGACAACTGTTTTGTATGTTATCTATTTTCTGGAGCCACCAGTGAAATGTGTTGCATGAGGTTTCCTTAGTAGAATCATGATGTATGTTTCAGATACTAGTTTTAAAGTAGTATAGTCAGACAAGTGTATTAAAATATCCCAGAGTTCTTAAAGTGTTGGCTAAACACTAAGGATTACCATATAAAGAAACATTACGACTTCCTCATCAGACAGTGAGTTACTATGCTGATGAACTAAGAGCAATGTGTAGTCTGTAATACTGAAACTTAAACATTTAAGTCCTCATTGTGGCATATAAAAATCTTTCCTCTAAATGTAAAATGGATGAGTTAATTCCATTCATCAGTGAAAGATGTTGAAAATTGCAGGGTTTATTTTGTTTTAAATCATGATGCTTCTAAGGAAATTGAAGAAGTGAGCTGTTAGAGGAACTACTATAGAGATTCTCACTACAACAGAGAAAGCAGAAAAGAAATATTTGGAAAGTAGTTTCAGCTGACCCCTTTGATAAGACTAAGTTGCGTGACACATCTGATGTGGAAGCAGAAATTCTACAGCAATAGGAAGTTGTTATCTCCATATCTCTAATGCTAACACAGTTCCCCCAGTCAACTGTGAGGTATATCTACTCTTGTTATGACAGCTGTTGGAAACTGATGTCAGTATAACTGTGCAACGTCTTTTGATAGTCTTAACTATTACAAACCTTAAAATGTGTTTATGATGTTATCTAAGACACACTATTTGGAAATGGCTCTATTTCTAATCAGAAATTGCTCAAGTTATTTTAATAAATAAATATAAACTCGCAAGTTTCCTAGTCAGATTTGCCTGAAAAAGCATTGTGAACTTTTTGTTTCTGAAGACTTAAGCCTGAGGATTAATTAATGTTTATACAGCACTTTGTAAAAGCAAAGTCACAACTGCCAAGAATTATTACTATTTAATCTTTAAAAATCAGATCAGTGACAGACTAAACTGTCAGAGAACTGCTGTTTAAAACAACAAGAATGCTGAAAATCCTCTTCTCCCCCCATACTTAAATATGTCCAAGTGTGCTTTCATTTCAACCTCTCTTACATAAAGACAAGCAAAGATACTTTTCAGTTTAAATGGGTTAACGCCCATCTTTGTTTAAATATGTGAGGATATTACCTAAAATCCTAGGAACATTTTACAAAATGAAAAAATTATTTGTTTCTGAAATGCATTTCCAGGGCCCAAATGTTGCAAATATTTTTATATGCAAATCCTACTCAGCAGTGTAATATATCTGATTAACCAGTGCTACTTCTGCGCACAACTTCACCTATTTGTGTGATGGGTCAGATCCTTGTAGTGATAGTTACTTTGTATTAGACTTGCATAGCTATTTTGACTTCTGAGGAAAAAGAATCCTTACATTATAAAATTTGCTTCTTTTTCTACTTTACATCAAACAGAGGTAAGGTTTAGAAACAATTTTCCTCAGAAAATAAATGTACATATTGGAAAACAAGCAACAAGCAAGAGAAGACTGGAAAAGTAGAGAAGCTCATCAGCGAAGTATAGAATTAATGGATAAAGTCATCTTTTCAGGGTTACAGAAACATGTTTTAGTACATCATTATTATTTAGGGAGAAATACTGCATTTTGCTTTGGCTATACCTTAAATTATATTCTCCCTTAACAGCTATACACATATTATTCATGCAATGCTAATTACTTTCCTTATAACGTAATTGACTTGTTAAGTAAGAGTATGAATTAATTGGTGGCATAGAAAACTAAATGATACCAAGTCAGGCCTAGTTAATCTGTGTCTGGCTTATTATCTCTTGATATTTAGTAAATTTAAAATTTATATATACAAATTTATTTAGAAGAAACAAATTTCACAGGCTGACTAATGAAAGCTGTCTACATTTATCTGGAAGTCTTGATAACTTGATCTTACTCAGATGCAAGCAGACTGTTAAAATTTGGGTTTGCTTGTTACCATGGTGCATACTGAAATATGAACATCTTTGCATACTGAAATATAAACATCTTGAGGGTCCTATGGACTGATAAACCTCTCAAAGAATAGTTTTCAAACAATGCTTAGCACCTGTCAGTTATGCTGAATTTTAGTTGCAAGTTGTTAATAAACAAGTGTAGTTAAGATTTATGTACATTTAAATTTAGATTCAAGAATATATGTCAGTATTTCAGAAGATCTCACTAGCCACCATTAAGACTAGATCTTCAAAGAGATCAGTGTCTGGAATGTTAAACTTCTTTGCAAGTCTGGTTCCAATTATGGGTTCTAAGTTCTTCTGAAAATCTAAATTATATTTAAATACCTACAGAAGAAACTTGAGTCTTATTTTAACAGTCTGACTCCAGCTGCAGGCACAGAACACTCATGGATTTGGCCCAAATTCACACCCTTTAAAACTACAGATGTAGAGTGAATAATCCTAAATCTTCTAATGATTGTTCCTTTATAATGAATTTCTGGAGTACATATCTTAAAATTTCTTAAACACAGTACATTTTCATAAATATGAATTTGAGGAAGAGAATACAAAACACCATCAGTGGAAATTGCATCACTAAATGGCAGCAAAACTTTTATGAAGTTCAGTAAAACCAGGTGTTTTCTCTAGACAAACCCAAGATTTCTTTTAATATATTTATTAAAATGCCTTAGAGGAAATTTCTATCATCAGGTTAAAATGTTGCTTTTATTTTCAAGATTTCTTTTCATACAGTACAGTTGAACTATCATCTCTTCAATCAAAATAAAAATATTTCCTTTTGTGTATAAGGGTGTTATGTTTATAAATTTATTTCTAATAACTTGTGGAAGCTGAGACTTTTTTTTCCTCTCAAGTATGAAACTATTAGGCTTAAAAGTGTTGCTTGAAGAAGTCACATTTTAATAAATGCACTGAGAGCAAACAAAGTATTACAGTGTGTAGGAAATATGGTCGGTCTTTCCTTAGAAAATAAATACACCCCCTAGACATGTAATACTTGTATTCAAATATAAAATTACAAAACTATAGACAGTAAGAATGAGCAGTGTACACCAAAATCTTATGTACCCCCAAAGCACTGAAAATTTTTTTTGGTTTTGCTTCAGTTTTCAGTTGTCTATGTAATCTAGATAGTCCGTTCTCAATATAGTTCTGCCTAAGAGTTGCAAATAAAATGCCACATAAATTATCTAAAATCTTTTGACCTTTGTACACAGAATGATGTGCAGTATTATTGGTTATGTGAAGTTTATAATTTTTTAAAATCTTGCAACAGAGAACTGCAAAAAAAAAATACAAAATCCAGTACCTGTTATCTGATGAAGTTTTCCAGTGCCAGACTTTCTGTAGCTTAATTTCACACTGCCAGAGCTTCTGTATTAAATGCTTTTACCTCCTTAAAAAAAAAAAAAAAAAAGGTATGTCAGCACAAGCCCAGACGAAACTCCAAATCCGGGAAAATAAAATTAACCATGCAGATCAAAGGCAGACGAGCACTGAGACCAAATGCCTGTAATCTGATCAGTGATCAGTTGCCGTACATCAAAGGCAGTGCTTCGGCGAAGAAAAAGAGCTGCTTTTCCAGCAGGTAGTTGCACTTTTAAATTCTGCCTTTCAGTACTCTGCACTAGCTCTTTTCCCCCTTTCCTTGCTTGTGCTGAGAGAATGCACACGGTTCTGAAATGCTTGGGGTTGAGTGGCTAGATCTGTAGCTTTTGAGTTCCCAAGCTGTGTTGTGGATTGTGTGTTGGAAGCTTTCCCTAGTGCCAGCGGGTTCCGCTTTATCCCTTTCATCTCGCTGAGCTGCAGATCCCATGACATCATTCAATGCTGTGGGACTGGTTAGAGAGCTGTAATACAGCCTGTGGGGGAATGCAGCTAAAGAGCAGCAAGAGTTTGCATGATTTCTAATCAGGTTAGTCCATTGTAACAAACCCAAGGCTCACTTCAAAGTCTACATTACATTAAAGTTTCCTCCCAAGAAGGGAGAATAATGCAGCTATAAGGTTTTCTTAAAAAGATGTTTTTTAATTTTGTCAGCAAAAGAAAGTTAAAATTTTCCATAAAGCGCTGAAACTCAGACATGCAGGTCAGTTTGCTATGCAGCTCTAAGACACGACTTTTGTTTGTCTCTATTGAAGTTTGGAGCAGGGGAAATGGTGTATTTTGTACACCGGAATCAGTTTTTTGCACTGGCAAAACCAAGCACAATAGAGCATGCTCTTAGTCCCTGGTTCATATCCTCCCTGCTGCTTACTGTGTGGCCTTTTGCAAATAATTTTTTTTGAGCCTGATTCATCTGTGGCTCATGATTCCTTTACATAAATGAACTGTAAAGCTGCCATAAGTAACTCACAGGAGTGTAAAGGCATTTTTTAGCTAGAGTAGATTTGAAGTGGCCACCATTGTACTGTCAGCAAAGGGATGTTTTGGGGGGCATGAAAGTATATTGACAGACATTTCTCTGTGCTGCTGTAGTTCATAGTCCTTCATAGTCCCGAGAATTGCTGGAGGGTCCTCTGTGGCCCTGGAAAGCAGAGGAATCCTCAAGGCTGCCATAACTTGCTCTCTTGCAGTGCAGAAGGCAGAAGAAATGCGCAACTGAATTTCATTTTCTATGATCTGAGACGAAGCTCGCTTATGGCACAGAGATTAATTCAGCCCTCTGTACTTCAGCTGTTAATAAAACATACAAATATCAAGCAGGACGGCTTTTAGGATAATCAGCCGTATTGAAGATGTCACTGAAGTTCTCATCAACATATACTCCATACTTTGGGTATACCACATGTGCAGATGAAAGTGATACAAGCCTGTCAACTGCTAGACTCCTGCAAATATTTGCACGCTGAGTAATCGAGAATTCATTTGAAAGGCAAAAGTAAAAAGAGGCACTATGCTAGACACAGTTGCCTTAAGCATTAAAACAAAAGCAAACAATCAGCGGATAATGGTTACTGGATAATCGAGTGCGGGAGCGATAAAGTGTCCTGCAGAGATCCGTCGTTGTGGTCCCTGTGTGTGGGCTGTAGCCTCCTCCCCCTCCGTGTGCGTCTCCCGCTCCTTGCCCCGTGCAGTCCGGGCGCTGCCCGCTGCCCCCGCCGCGGGCGCCGCTCGGGGATGATGCTCCCGCGGCTCTCGGTAGGTTAGGGAGCCTTCTGCTGGTGGGATGGCGCACTGTGGGCAGCACCAGGCCAGCAAGGAGCGCTGTGCTTCCCAGTAATAGTAATGAACACTTCCAGAAAGGTTTGAGAACCTTACAAAGGGTGCTATAGAATGTAATTTTATTGCTAGCTGGACATAGTGTAAATGTTGTTTTGAATCACCTATCCAGGCAGGCCTCTGGGCTCTGGGGGATGTTCTGGTAATTGAGATGGAGAAAAGATGTTGCAGGTACAAAGGAGGGTGGGACAGGTAATGAATCTGACTTTCAGGTATACACTGCTTGAAAAAAAATGTAAACAAACCATAAATTTCTCTCTTTCTCTGATTTCCACTTCCATATATTATAAATAAAAGAAAATTATCCAGACTGCTTACTTCTATTTTAACATTATTTTGTGCTCTTCTGACATATGACTTCCCTCTATCACCAGAAAGTTTTTTCATAAGAGTGCATTTGTAGCTTTCATGGTAAAACTGGAAATGCTTATATTGAAATAAAATTTACGGGTGAGCTGTACAGAACTAAAATAACCCGTTTCATTTCAAAAGTGCCTTAAGAACAATACTGTTCACAGAAAACACCTTTTAGTTCTTCAGATTTTAAGCAAAAGCAAGTCCTGATGGTCTACTAAAGGTCTTTTATCTATCTTTTGTACATATGAAAAGAGAAGTAAGGTTAATTATTACCAATTTAACCTTCTAAAGTTTAAGCATTGTATTTTGCATTTATGACACTACTTTTTACTGTGGAGCCTGTCAGCCTGAACTATCTGCTATTTCCTATTCTGTGGCTTCCTCAAAACTTGGCCAGATGTGTGTATTAATAACAACAGTTGTCAATATAGTTCAATATTTTTCCAAAGGCTCATAATAACTTTTTTCCTTACATAAAATGAGGATAATATTGTGATTTGTATAAGGCACAGGACAGACTAGTACCAGAGCAGTAACAGAACCAATCTAACATGACACTTCACTTTTACACCTTCTGATCATGCTGATCAGCTTCTGATCAGCTCATACTTCCTCTTGTAGTCACTAACCCAGCAAGGCCTGATTATAATCACTGAAATTACTGGAGTGGGATCTGATCTGAAATTACTGAAATTTGGGACCCAGGTTTTACTCACTGTCTAAGTATCTAAAAGCTCTCCTAGAAGATGTAATTCCTGTGTGAAACCAGAGACAGGTCTTTAAAGTCCTGCAGAGGGAGATGCTGTCTTCCTAATTAATTGCTTAAATTTTTCTAAACTTAGACTTAATCTTTCTTGAGAAACATTTGGTGGGTTTACCATTCTCTTTTTAATAAGTGAGGACCTGAAGCTTTTAAGGAGGTCACTTTATTGTTCTCTTAAAGTTTGGGCTAGAATTAGACAAGGCTACTAAGTTAGACAGGTTAGATCCCACTTTAAGAATTTTTAGAGAAACAGAACAAAGTTCAGGGCTGCTATTCATACCCAAAGTGCTTTATTGGGTCAAAGCCATAAAAGACTGTCAGCTGACAGACATGAGAACTTTCTGGAGATGTTTCTTAAATGTAACAAAATCTTGAGAAAAAATTCTTTGTGGAAGAAACAATCAAACCAAACAAAGGGTTTGTACCCCTGCCCTATGTTTAACATATTTAATATTCATGCTATGGCTCACATACTTGTATCTTATGCATCCAATGATTTATCATGTTGCTGCACCACTCCACTGCACCTCTTCCCTTTGCTTTACTGTAGTATTGTGTTAGGTTTGTGTGGCCAAGTTTTGGTAGCAGAGGGCTACAGGGGTGGCTTCAGGAAGAAGCTTCTAGAAGCTTCCTCCATGTCCAGCAGAGCCAATGCCAGCTGACTCCTGGACAGACCCACCACTGGCCAAGGCCGAGACAATCAGGATGATAGTAACACCTCTGTGCTAACATATTTAAGAAGGAAAAAAAGTTATTGTGCAGCTGAAATTGCAGCCAGAGAGGAGCAGTGAGAGTAACAACTATGTAAACACCAAGGCCAGTGGAGAAGGAAAGAGAGGAAGCGCTCTGGAGCGCTCTCACCGGAGCTGAGATTCCCCTGCAGCCCATGGTGAAGACCATGGTGAAGCAGGCATCGCCCTGCAGCCCATGGAGGACCATAGGGATACAGAGATCCAAGTGCAGCCTGTGGAGGATCCCACGCTGGAGCAGGTGGATGCCTGAGAGAGGGCTGTAAACCCGTGAGAAACCCATGCTGGATCAGGGTTCTGGCAGAGACCTGCAGACCTGTGAAGAGTGGAGCCAACACTGGAGCAGGTTTCCTGGTAGGACTTATGACCCTCTAGTGGACCAATGTTGGAGCAGCCTGTGCCTGAAGGACTGCACCCTGTGGACAAGTAACCACGTTGCAGCTGTTTATGGAGAACTGTTGCCTATGGGATGGACTCACATTGGAGAAATTCATGGAGGACTGTATTCCATGGGAGGGACCCCATGCTGGAGCAGGGGAAAGACTCTTTTTCTTGAGTGGCAGGAATAACCTGTGATGAACTGACCATAACCCCCACTTCCTGTCTCCCTGTGCCGCTTGTGGGGGAGGAGGTAGAGCTTGGGGGGATAAAAGGGTGGGGGTAAGGTGTTTTTCAGATTTATTTTACTTCTCATTATTCTGCTCTGGTTTTTTTAAATAATAAATTCAATTAATATCCCCAATTCAAGTCTGTTTTGCCCATGACAGTATTTGATGACTGCTCTCCCCTGGGCCTTATCTCAACTCATAAACTCTTAGTTATATTTTCTCTCCCCTGTCCAGTTGCAGAGGGGACTAAAAGAGTGGCTTTGGTGGATGCCTGGTCTCCAGCCAGGGTCAACCCACAAGTACGTAGGAGCTCCAACATTTGCTCAGATAAGAGGTCAGGAATCATCACAGGAAAAGCAGTGCTATCATTATAGCCCACTCACTGGCCATGGAAACACCATTTGTACTAACTGCAGCCTTTCTAAGTGTGGCATAAATGCTGGATATCCTGTTACGAATATCACACCAGCAGTGCTGGTGCAGTTGTAAGCTTTCATCATGCACATCTACTGGGACAGCTGTCTCCTGATGATAAGTGGTGAGCTGCTGATTTATGGAGGTGGAAGACAATTTTCAGAACCTTTCGTGGCAGGTCAGCACTGTCTCTGTAGCATTTCTTGTCTATGTCTAGTTGATGTTAGAAGTGCTGATCATCACTCTCCTAAAGGACTAGGGGGTTATTGTTCCACGAAGCTAGTCAGTCCTGTGGTCAGGAGAGGTGCTTTAGAATACCCAAATCCCACCTCCTGCATTATCTGCATTGCCATCCTGATAACAGCTAACAACCTGTTTCTGCCGTATCACATGGGTATTGTTAGTTCCAGGTATTGCTGATACCTACTGCCACTCCTAGCTACAGTGCTTGCAATCTCCTTGGGAGTTGTAAGGTTTGTTAAGAACTTCAGATACAGCACCTTTAGGCAGAAAAATCAAGACGCTTTGGCATTTCCTGAAAGACTGGCTCACAGTTATCACAGAGTATGTTGTCAGACTAACCATAATCTGGAACACTCTACACAGTCATTGCAGAGCAGCTTGTTCTAGTTAATGCTACCTTTGAATGTAATTCCATTAGTTTTTT